AAGGGATGTATAAATAAAACTGTGTACTCAAATGGTATTGTAATACTAAAATATTTATTGTTATGTTAAATATTTACTTGCAGAAAAAGTTTATGTAAACTTTTGTATTTTATAGTACTGAAGAGGGACCTTTTTTAGAAAAGGACCGAAATGCATCTATAGTAATAGAATAAAGTGAAATCATTGACTAAAGCTGTGTGATAGTCTACCGCCAATATTAAAATTTACATTTTAAGTGCGGATTTACAAAGACTTTACAATATATAAACTGACAATTCTAGGAAGCAGTCAGAGACCAGGTGTGTTGTAGTGGTGGTAGATGAGAGAAGGCGCTTCTTCTATTAAAAAAAATTCCCTTTGGCTTTCCATGCAATGTTAACCAGGCGAAATCACTGGCGATCCTTAAGGCCATTCAGCTCATTGATGAGCAGGGACTCACGAACATTTCGAGTGGCTTCAATATTATTTCTTTATTTCTGAGAATAGGTGGCTTTCTTACAACTTAAAGACAAAAATACCCATCTCACTATAATCAAGGACTCGTTTAAAACCATCTTAAGCATTGGGCCCAATACTCTCCTTAAATTTCGCTGTGTTAGGGGTCATAGCAGCATGAAGGACAACGATAGGGCAGACCTTCTGGCAAAGAAGGCTGCCACTGAAAAGGGAAACCCTTCATACTACAGCATCACTCCATTCTGGGTCTATAATCAAATATTCAGTATTCTTAACAGCATATGGCAGGACCACTAGAACTCGTGTGACAAAAAGAGGCTCACCCACTGATTGCTTCCACAGGTGACCATACACCACTCACTTCGTCCTCAGCTTCCCCCTATCCCCAGCTCATCACTTCGCATAATGAGTTTGGGTCGTACTTCGTACAGTTTATGTTTTAACTAACCTCTGTCCCTCCGGACCGCGTTACAGCGCTCCGGAACTCCTTTCCTTGTCATCGTCGGTGTGTATAAAGTCTTGTGCGGCAGTAGAAATTTTTTTGTTCGGTGTATTTTAGTTTTTCAATGGTTGTATATTGCTTAATTGTGTATTGTTTATACTTTTTAGAATTATATTGGTTAAATTTTAGTGTTACGTTATATTTTTTAGAGTTATAATTGTTTTTATTTGTGTTTTTATCTTGTATGTATCATTTTTTGTATGATTGAATGTGCGTTTGTATTTGTTGCCCTTTTTTTGAAAATAATATTTTTATATGACAGCACTTGGCTATGATGCTGCTTACGAAAAATGTATAATTGTGATTATGATAAAATATCAAATTTAATTATATTTTATATTCTAAATAGTACAATAAATATTATATTATGGATAGTAAGAATATAATTACATATTGTTTATTGTTATTTATTAATTATGTATATTAAATGTAAGATAGAATGCTGAATAGAACTTACCTGAGGTGATGTTAATGTCTCGCTATAATGTTAATTAAGTTATATCTTTGATAATTAATATATCGGTGTACTTTTCACTGTATTTAGATGTTTTATAGAAACAATATATTAATTAAAAATTGAATAATTTATAGATGTTCGTATATTTTAGAATATTGTTGAACGCTTTAGTCGGATATGATTGCGTTTAATTGCTGTGAGCGAGCCGCAATTTAATCCTAGAAAGAAAATTTGAAATATGATTTGCACGTATATTTCGGGTCTCGTGTATCATTAATTACTCTTTCATTTTGTGGGCCAGGCCTCATTTTTTACCAGCGGAGTAAAGAAGTCTTTCNGAATAGAACTTACCTGAGGTGATGTTAATGTCTCGCTATAATGTTAATTAAGTTATATCTTTGATAATTAATATATCGGTGTACTTTTCACTGTATTTAGATGTTTTATAGAAACAATATATTAATTAAAAATTGAATAATTTATAGATGTTCGTATATTTTAGAATATTGTTGAACGCTTTAGTCGGATATGATTGCGTTTAATTGCTGTGAGCGAGCCGCAATTTAATCCTAGAAAGAAAATTTGAAATATGATTTGCACGTATATTTCGGGTCTCGTGTATCATTAATTACTCTTTCATTTTGTGGGCCAGGCCTCATTTTTTACCAGCGGAGTAAAGAAGTCTTTCTTATTTTTTCCGGGCTTTAATAGTAAAAAATGAAACGAAAGTCACTTTCTATAAATAACCTATCCGAACAGAAACATAAGGAGAATAATTAAAAATTTATCTAAGGAAGACAGAGTCTGTTTCTGTCTTATCTGCGTATAATTGGTGTATTATTGTAGAATGTAGTTTACTGTAATGTATGATTTTAGTTGGAATTTTTACTTCAATTATTTAAATTTATTTAAATGAAAGTAAATGTTTCTCTTAATAGAAAGAAACTCATTTATAATTGATTTGACGACATTTATTGCAATGCTCAGGATAATATGTAAAGTGGACTTGGCAAACAACCATTTTTTTTTCGGTTGAATTTATCTCAATTATTTTGTAAAATTGCAAGCGGATTAATTAGGCGATTAACTGCCATAATATCCCCAAACGATAGACGAGAAAAGCCTAAAAGTACTTGGAAAAGATAACTTTCGATAAGTATATGGAACTACTGTCCCACTGAATGGATTATACGCGTCAGTTGTTATTAGACTAATGTCAATCTTTTATCTACAATTGGACAGAGACTCACCCGAATAGCGAAATGCGTGAATGAATAACATTACATTCTACAATAATAAACTCATAGACTGGGCAATAAAGATTCTAACTTTTATATACACGTTGTAGAATGAAAATTGAAACGCCTTACCTGTCTGTTGTTTTGAGCAAAAGAAGTCTCTTTGCAAAATAAATTATAACACTTGAGAATGATACTTCTTCCTAGAATTTAATTATTAAAAATCCAGATGATTAAAATCCAGATGATTTAATTATTAATTAATTATTCAAATTTTCTAATTTATTGTTTCTTTGAAAGANACTCTCCGTAGCGTGGCAGTTGACGGCGGAAAATAGTTCGGCTGCTCGATGACGTTTCACGTATTTATAGGAGTTTTTTTTACCTTTTTTTACGGATACCATCGCAATTTTTTCGCAGTTTTATAGGAATCGTAATTATAGGAACCGGTTTTATAGGGGTCTACTGTATATAGGCACGTAAACAAAGAATCGTGGTCAGAACACTTGCGTAATAAAGGTCGAGACCACCTCAGACCCTTCGCCCCCTGGCCTTACAGACACGCTACTTCTCGGAATACGGAGACCCTTTTGGCCCGCCTAAGAATTGATACTTCCCCTCTTAATGGGTTCCTCTGTTCTAGAAACCTACGTGCTTCACCAGACTCTCCACATTGTGGTGCTCAGGAGACATCCAGACCATTTTGGTTGACGTGCCCAAGATATACGGAAGCCCGACAAGAACTCTCTTGTACTCTGAAGATCGATCTCACAATCATCCAGACTTTAACACCCATATATTGGGCAAGAACAGACCTCTCACCTAAACAGCACGTGCAGGCCCTCGAACGTTACGTAGTACGCACACATCGATTTGACAAATTGCGGACAAGAGTTAATCGGAGAAAAGGTGACCAGCCAGAATCTCCATATCAGAGAAGGAAAGAAAGAAAGAAAGAAAGAAAGTATTCATAGAACTAGTACATTTTGAAGGAAAATAGTACATTTTTTGAAGGCGCTTCAGTACGTTTTGAAATTTCATTGCGGCAACACTGCACATGAATGCTGTTTGTATGTGGTGATAGCCCCAAGTCTCCATTCGTGCACTATGGGGGTTGCGTCTCGATAGCTATAAGCTATAAGGGTGCGGGAGATATGGGCTTAAAAGTGGTTGAAAGTGGTTTTCTATTTCGAATGTTATATTCGAATTTGTTCGAATTCAATTCGAACAATATTCGAATTTGAATTCGAACATAAAATTCGAATAATGGTTCGATTATAGAACGATTGTAAACGTTCCAGAAACGTTGAAAATAGTTCGTTTGACTTGACATAAACAGGATACGTTCAGAAATAGAATCGGGACCAGGTCTCTAATTAGTCTAAAAACGGGGGACCTAATTTTTGCATTCTGTGAAAATGGATAAGATTGGCTATAATGTAATTATCTTAATTTTCACCATCGTTACTTTTTGCCCACAAATAAAAGCCCAGCGAAACGAGTTCTTGCAGCTAGTAATAAATATAAATATAAGAAATTTTCACATCAAATGCCATAGCAAATAGATACTTAATTAATATAAATATTGTAAAAGTTTATAATTTGAAACGAATGATATAATACCCAACCTTGTTGTGAATTCATTTCCTTCGACTTTCAGTTTTTCTATCTGACAATATAACAAATTAAAAAATTATAGTGTAAAAACAAACCACATTCACTCCAACGGGACACGAAACAACAATCTTGTCATCATAAAACTAACCCCAGACCATACCACACTACTGGCCACATTATCTACAATGTAAATTATAAATGTGTTAACTGATTGTGAAGTGACTTCAACGTTATGCTGTTACTCGAAGCACGTAATGGCCCACTTAGTTATATGCTAATTTCTTAGATACGTATATGTGAGATCACAATAGATACACGTATAAAGCCAGTTTTAATGTCGGATATACAAAATATACAAGTAATGCAATTAAAAATTTAAGTGCTCCTGCGAAAAGGCATTGACGTCAAAGTCATGTGGCATCTGCAGCCAATTTCCGTGATGATTTCTTTCTACTTCTAAGCGCGTGTTGCCTCCGTTCTTCGACGTCATACTCGAGAGTTCAGTGCGGAAACGAGCCGAAGAAATGGCGGATCGAGAGGTGCAGAGTCGGTAAATAGTTGTATTGTTTTCTGCATATAACGTTTCTACATGTATGGGCACAAAATAATTTTAATTAATTTGCTATTGACTATCATATGTTTTTATTTTATAAAAAATTTGAGAAAGAAAGCGATGATGTACTGCTATCGAGAGCTTAAAATATAATGTGATAATGGACATAAGTTGATTTTCTGTTTGTTATTTGTACTTATTTATCACATATGTTCGCGTCAAATTAACATTCGCTTACTAAATTTTTATATATAAATTTTCTAGAATATTTATACTAAAAGTATTTAATTAATAAAAGTTTTAATTGTCTTACTGGAAACAATGACTAAGCAAAACTTCACAAATAGCTTATTCCCTTGTGTAAATAACCGCCTGTTTACAATGTTCTTACTCGAGAAATAGACACTATTACTTTTAGAATTCAAAGGGTTTAAGTAGATTAAAATTTCTCTTCTCTTGGTGAAATTATTTTCGGTATTTAAAGTTTGAGTTAATAAGCTTTGTTTAATTTTCAATATACAAATGATTAATACTCATTCTTTTCTACAAGATTTAATTCGGGTAGTTCAGTGTTTCTCGACATGTAAATCGCGGATCTTTAGGTTCCATCAACTAGTTGGTGAAACGTTGAGTTCTAAAACGTAAAAGTGTTATTTATTTGTTTTATTTGTTTAAGGCAATTGAATGAATGAATGAATGAACGAAAATTAATTACATTTTTTACAGAGATTTGATTGAAATTAATTTGAAGCCAATATTTTGTTTGTAATTATTTATATTAAGATCGAAGTTTTTAGAACAATAGATCTAATACATGTTATAGCAGCACTGTATAAACGTTATTTGTTCTATGATTAGAAGTTTCACATGAAAGTACCAAATAACATTAGAGAAATTCATTTATTCGACCAGTTTATTATTAATCGGTCTACAAAGCGAAAAAAATCATGTTCAGAATGAATATACAAGTATGACAATGTTACGTTATACACTCCTTTTTGTTATAAAGGACGAGGAATTACATGATGCCACCCGGCATGAAATAGCCACAAGCAATGCGACTCGATGCTCTAGGTGGGTCTTTAACTAATGACTTATCAGTTAAAGGCTTTCTCTTTTTATTTCAGTTTGTAATATAAACCTGTAATTGTGCTTTCTGTAAATGAATGAAACACACGAGGATAAAATTTAGTTTTTACTTAATTACGGGACGTCGATGTCCGTTTATTTAGAACATACGAAATAAGTGTCGATGAAAAAAAAAAAACCTAAAGATTTTTTATCTGTTACTGACTATAACATGTAATTGTTAATTCTTTGAAAAATTAAACTTTTGTAAGTTGTTTTCGGGTCGAGAAAAAATCTCCAGCTTCCCCCTCTTAACGAACTTGTTTAATTACTTTTTAGAATGGATGACAATTGATTAATGTGTTACCGTAAAAATTTTTTTACATTCAAGCTTTAGGCTTGTGTAACAAAATAATGGAAAACTCCAGGAAATCGCAGTTTGGGACTAGCATTATCAGTTATAACAGTACAGTATACAATGACCGATACGTCTAGAGATTCAGAATACGATAGGTTACAGAAAAATCAATTATTGTTCGTCGAGAATAATAAAACAATTTGACACGAATTCTAGAATATTTTTACATTTTCTATAACGAAAACTGTACAAACAAGTTTTACTTTTGTAATTATTTCTTAATTCTAGTCGGAGAGTGACAGAAGTAATATCGAAGATAGGTGAATATAATTATTTAACAAATGGACCGTGAATACTCCGTCAAAAACAGTACATGTAGAGAAAAATTTTTACATTAACAAAAGGTCACTTTGATATTAGTATTAACATCTATTGATAATCAAATAATATATCTGATCTATCATACAAAGTGTCTTTTTTTTATAATATGAAGGAATATCTTTATTCTATAAACCTGATTTTATTTCAGGCTACGCCCCTTTTCAGTCTACTGAAAGGCATATTTCGTAATACTTCTCTGTTTATAGAGTAGATATGTCTTTTCTTTTAAAAAATGCACGCAAAAAGAATATTTTAAAAAAAACCTGGTACGATAGCTCTTAAGAAATAAACCTTTGAGTTTTTATGATTTCGCGATAATCAAGATGATAAGCTAATACAAAAACTTTAATATCTATTTTTAAAATATTAGTCATGCATTTATTATTCATACATCATTCTCGGAAATACTACAACTACCGTACAGTACAACAGACATGTTTGTTTCAAAGTAGTAATAAATATTTTTCTATTGTTTTAGGATTTCTTCGAGTGAGATACGAATCCAAAACAAAGAAAACGAAGAAATTATTATATCAGAGGCTCGGTTAAATAAAGTATTGAACAGGCAGTTGGAGCATCACATTATATATTTTGAAAATTCTAAAGTACTATTTATACCTTATCCAATCGAGACCATCAGACAATTCGTTACGTAAGTTTTTCACGATACTTATCTTTCATTTAATTTCAATATATTGGTATAAAATATAATTTATATTTTTTAAACAGTTATGTACAGATGGACGATCCCGGATTGGCCTCTATTATACACGCTTTCGATCTGTATAAATTAAGTTTAAGATACGAGTTAGAGAATTTAAAACTGAAATGCAGGTCATTTATCATTCGAAAAGTAAACCTGAATACCGTGTGTTTAATCCACGATTTTGCATGTGAGATCGGTGATCTGGTCATAACTTATTATTGCTGGCGAGCTTTCGACGAATACGGAGAAGAACTATTTACAACAGTCACCTTTATGTGCTGTAAAATTGCAACAATTGATAGACTGCTATCTCGAGCGATATATGAATCAGTCAGTGAGTTTCGTTTACTCCAAGCCGTGTATGAGTGGAGCATAGAAGAAGTTAAAAGAAAATTGGGTGCAGACAACTTCCATTCGATGTATGAAGAATCGAAAAGGAATGCAATAAGAAATGTTATGGAGCCATTTATTGGAAAAGTCAGATTTCTTGCCATAAATGAAGACGAATTGCAATCTTATGTTTTTACAATGAACTTGTTAAACGAATTAGAAAAGAGTCATATCTGGCATGCTTCTAAGTATAATTATTATTCCTTGTGTCCCAGTTACTTTAGTCGAGAAACAAAAACCAGAAGCAGAAGAAATTATTGTAACTTGTTCTCGTACATAAATTGTGGAGATCCTTTTACGGTCGCGAACGGAGAAATGAAAGGTTACACATATTTTAGCAGCGAAATAGTTGTGAGAGAAAATTGTTACGTCACGGCTCTTCGATTTCCAATGAAGCTTAGCGAACGTTTTCCAATGTACGTACACGGGTATATTAAAAAGAATTTGGACAACGAACAGTTTTCGTTTGACACCGTTTGCAATGGAAACGGAGTAGCAGATCTGGAAACGAAGTTTTATCTAGAAAAAAATTGGTCAATTCGTTTCTTTGCTTTCTTTTTACGCGCTGAAAATGTCCAACCCGATATCAAGTTTTCATCTGAACTGAGTTACTTTGTGAGCGACGAAGGAACAGATGCCAGGAAATTTGAAGACAAATTTATAACCTGTGACGGAAACCTTCTGAATAATATTTACTTTTCGGTTGATTTATATTTTTGAAGTGAAGTTTCTGTGGAGAAAAGCGAAATCTGAAAAGCGAAATCTATAATGTAAAGTTAAATTCGAATATGATTATTTCTTAAAGTACCGCTTTAAAATTTCTGCAAAATATTGGATTTACAGAAAACAAAATTTAAGTTTAAAGTGTTTATTAATGTAATATTTTTTTTGAAAAGTGTATTGTCATTAGTCGAGTTGTTTATATTTCAAAATTTAGTATTTGCAAATCTATCAGCATCAAGAACGTTTATAATTGTCAGCATTTTAATGCTAATTACGTGGGTGATTTTAATATTTTTATTGAAGTAGATGTTCGAGAAAGTAATATAATTACAATCATACAGCATTAATCTTTTCTTTATTCATGTTAATAACGATAGAAATAAGAAAAGTTAAAACTAGAATTTATGTCTAAATGTACGAGCTATTCGATATCCATGTTTCAATTTTATTATTTACAGTATTGTTCTTTGTATTCGTTGTATAGAATGTGATGTTTTACCATTCTTTTCATCTACGACGCTTTGCGTAAATGTAATTGACTTCAAATTTGATTTTTTTAAGTAAAAGTGCCCGGAAATCTTATTCGGTTACTGACATTTTCCGTTAAAAGAACAGTGCAGTGCGTTTAGAACGAGTTGACGACAGAATTTCAGAACAGAAGCAGTTTGCATAAAAGATCACTATTCAAAAGAAGCTTTATAAGGTGTATCTTTAATACTACGGAATATCATCTATTTAATACTACGGGATTACACTTTGGTAGTTTTGATAGCGGTACTGTACTTATTTTTAATACTAAACAATGGGACATTGAAGACCATTTAGAAATTTTCGACGAATTTTTTTAAAATGTACAATTTTTAAAAATAAATATAAAAATATTCATTTATTATATTTACAGCAATCGCATATTGAAAAATTTTTATTGTCATGTTATTTAAAAATTTACATTAATATATTTTACTTTGTGGCAATTTTAATGATGTTGCTTTATTGCATGCCTGTTTTATAAATCGATATGTTTAGTACAAAGACGAAGTATTAAGTAATTTTTTTTTAAATTTTCTTCTCTTTTGTATACTACTAACAAAAGTCGTTAATTACCCAGTGTTATTTTTCCTTTAATTGAATAGAATGCAAATTTTTTATAACATGCTACAGTCGAAATTTCTTTTAAGTTCGTCTTTTCCTTTCCAACATAAAGTATAACATAACACACATGAAACGTAATTAGTAAGTGAAATAGCCGTAGAACAATACAGAAAATTGTCAGACAAAAATGTTATTTTAATTACAACTTGTAGGAATTACTATTTTTCCTATCAGTTTGATTTATTTTTAGCTTTATAGATGTAATAGGTAAATGGGTAGTCTGTTAAGGCTGTTTTCTTGAATATGTTTAGTGTTTACACGCATTAATTAAAAACATAGAATTTAGTTTGTGATAATTTATAATATTCTAATAAAAATATTTGTTAGATNAATCGCATTTAACCTATGTATCCTAGCTTAGTTATATAAATAAATGTTTGTTTAGTTTTTAAACCTGTCTCCTGTCTCTGAAGGACACCTGCCGACTTACCGACGCACTCCCCACTCAAATTTTTGCCCTCCTAGCCATCCGACAAGCCGAGAACGGGTTTCACCAACCTGTTGCAGAGTAAATGGTCATTTGGGATGAGCCCAGTGGCACACTGCTAATCTCACATTGGTGTCAGAAATGGGATTTATAAGCGAAGTTTGTCCGTGCATAGACAGGTTTGTCCGCGATAGACAAGTTCGGCTCAGACAGGATGTCACAAATTAGAGTAGCTAAGCGATTCTAGGACATAGTAGCATGGAAATGGAAGAAAACCCTAGAGCAGTCTTAGGGAACATAGGAAGTTTTGTCTCTCTTTTGCCTGCATTTTCTGGTGATACAGCAGGACTTAGAATAACTGAGTTTTTTGACTCTTTATCAGATCTGGCAAAATTGTCAGGATGGACAAAAGCGCAATTGTTGGCAATAGCAAAGCTGAGACTTACGGGAATAGTCAGAGAATTCGTTTGAAAGAATAGACGAATCAAAGACATTGAGGATTTTGAGGAATTTAAGCGTGTTATGCTAGAGCGTTTTGAAAAAGTCCCTTTCCACCTTCAAGTTCATAAATTTTAATCATGTGTACAAAAACCGGAGGAAGATGTACAGACATATGCAGCGTGATTACAAGCCCTTGCTACCGAAATTGAGTATTAATTTATATTAATATGGATCACTTAAAAAAAATTTAATGAAGATATTTATCTTAATTATGAAAATATACTAGCATGTTTTTTTAATTTTTGGAACCTAACCCCCTTTTCGTATTAGTTCTTTGTTTCGTATAACACGGATTCGCATAACACGGCAATTTTTTGGAACGTAACTACCGTGTCATACGGGAGTTACCTGTATATATAAAAAATTAAATACAAGTTTCTGTAAGTTTAAAAATACTGTATTGTCTTATAAAGAGTGTAAAAATGGAAAAACTTAATTTGCAATTTACATTTGTTGTTTTCGATTATTTTATTATTATAGTAAATGTACAAAAAAGCTTTATTAAAATACAAAACAGATAAAACTTACTTTTTGATGTTTAAAACTGTCTCAAAATTATAATCGCTGATATCACGTAATTTAGTTTATCTGAAAATTTTGCAATAATTTTAATATTAATTTCAATACACACAAGAGTTCGCGAAATTATAAATAAGTGCCTTTTATCAAGTTTTAGATGAAATGTCTATAACTATAATGTCTGCCCACTCTCACAACAACAACAACAACAACAACAATACAAAGTTTAGGCTAATTGATCAACATTTCTGATTTCAGTAGGTTAAACGTCATTCAGCCGACCAATCAGCGCGTTGTGCCATCTGTATATTTAGTCGCTGTTGTGTGCTGAGTGTGACNGGCATAAAGCTTAATTTTCGAGGTAAACAGATAAGTTTTATAAAAAATTGTAAATGCTAATAACAAGTAAAATCCTCATTAAATTTATATATACCTGAGATATTACATACGACCCCTACTATTACCCTAAAGCTATACTGCCCCTTAGACCTTTTAATGAACTGAATTTACATATTTAAAAATATATAATTATACACGTTTATTTAAAGATTCTCAACGTTAACTTGATTAATTAATTGAATTGAATTATCTGTATATATAAAAATGAATGTATGTGTGTGTGTGTGTCCTTCATGCATTACCACACCGTTTATCCGATTGCCGTGAAACTTTGAGAAGTTGTTTAATATACTCCCTTGAAAGTTTCTGGCATAGTACGATTGCCATGAAGCTTTGGGAAGTTTTTTAATACACTCCCGCGAAGGTTTCTAACATTTATCCTACGATAGATGCGCGCGTTAACACGAGCATTCGAGCACTGTGTGTTCGATCGATTTCAAATTGCGAAGACCATTTCCTCCCCTTCAAAAAATATTTCTATATATGCATTTGTGAACTGTTATTTACGATATTTGTAATAATTTTTGTTTAATCACTTTATTTCAACATTTTTTTGCTAATTATGTATCCGTTCGAACTTCGTTAAAACCTTAACTGTACCCCGAACAACAACCGAACTTGTAAGAACAAATTCACGTATTTTACCAAACTAACCTCTTTTCCAAACTTTAATATCGACTCAAAATAATTTGAAAAGAAAAATTACAATAAAACTGTTTATTATCCAACTATCAGAAATTTCACAACATGCCAAGGAAGAGAGGAAGGAGCAATTAAATAATTAAAATTATAAAGGATTTAAAAATATATATAAAAATGGGGAATATCGCACTTCTGACAATCACTGCAAGTGTATGGGCTAAATTTGGAAAATCCGTGCTTTTCGCATGAACAACCGTATGTGGCCAGCTCATGCGTCGGAAAACCTTCTGATTTATTCGTGTACTCACCAGACGGAAAAACAAAAAATATTGTGTATCCACAAGCACTCCAATAAATAAATAGAATTGAAACGACACTTTGAAATGTTTTTTCGATGAAAATGAATAATAATAATAATAATAATAAGTTTCAATAAAAATGATAAAATGTAAATTGAATTTTATCATAACGAGTTTGCTTGAATTTCCTTTCTTCTGAGATCGCAGCAATGCGCGA